TCTTTTAACTTAAACCAGTATTTACGTGCTGTAACTAAAAAAGTTATACATAAAAGTCCAGGTATTATACAAAAAAATATATTTATTTAAATTTTTAACATTTAAATTTAAATAATTTAATTTTAGGAAAATTTGGTAAAACATTTTTGAAAAGTATTAATAGGATACGATTAAATATTTAACGAAGGCGCAAATTGTTTCAAGGGAAATCAAAAAGAAAATCTAAATTTATTGGACCGGATTAACATTATGGTTTAGTAGATTTGCTACAAGATGATATAACAACGGAAGAACTTGATGTAAAAAAAAAACAGTTTATTAATAAATTAATGAAAACTGATAGAGGTATTTATAAATTTCGTATTCTAAATAACTTTGGAATACGACATTAAAAAAAGTGGGCAAGTGGGTGTCGCTCTGCTATACAGTAGGTTACAAGTGGGTCACTGTATAATGGATGGTATTAAATTTGAGTTCAATGATATAATATCATTGTATAAAAAAAACGATTCTGAGCGGAGACGATATGTCAGTCTAGGTATAAGACATATTATATACTTATCTATGGTATTAAAAAAAAATTACCTATTTAATAGGTAGATAAAATAAATTCCAAATTTATCATATCACAATATCCATTAGGTACTTATAACGCGTTATACATCAACAACAAACCGTGATACTATCATAGATATATAATAGTACACTTTAGAAGTTTCAAGTACCCACGAATAATATTATTCAATCACAACAAAATAACTAAAATAGTTATCTAGGTTTTTTAATATGTAATTTCGTCCAAATTGGAATTTAAAGTGTCTGTAAAAAATAACTGTGTCCATATATTTTTAGATTTTTTGGTTACAGTATGAACTATTTATGAGACCCTTTGTTTTAAATTTGCAACCCTTAGCTATAAAAACTGAACATTTTATCATTTATTAATTACAATGATTGATAATTTTCGAGATTTTGATCAATTTTGTCAAAAATCGATCTTTAAATGCTTATAAAAAAAAATTGTGCACATGTATTTTTAATATTTTTCAACTGATATTGTAACAATATATCAGGAGCCTTGTATTAATTTTTCACACTTTTTGGCCCTACAGATAAAGCTTTATTGATATTTATAGAAAAAAAAACTAAAAAAAATTGAAAGCTGTAGATGTCGGTAAACAGTTGAAAAAGAGTCAAAATATTTTAAAAATTTTATGGTGTATAGGAAATGCTAATATAAACATTCAGTAAAATTATCATGTATCTACAGTTATTCGTTTTTGTATTACAACAAAATAAGGAAATCGCTACATGAGAATTCGAGTGAATATATCCAATGTTGTAAAAATTTGAATTTCAAACGCTCATAAAAATTTAATTTGATTTTTTTATAGACATTTTTTTTTTTGATAAATGTAAATAATCTTATAAGTTATAAGGAATCTTGTATTACATTTTCAAATCTTAGATTTAAAAAGAAAAATTTTTACGAATTCTTAAAATTTTTTACTTTTTAGGTACACTCGTTTACATTTTAGGTTCTGAGCGGAACGATGAATGTACTGATTTTACAATAATGTGTTTTTTTTTAGTTTTCTTTAAATTTTTAAATTTTATTTATTTTTGTGCTTACATGGAATATGAATATCCACATAAACAAAAGCTAACAGTAATTTTAATGATTCCTTATAAGATTATTTACATTCATCAAAAAAAAAAATGTCTATAAAAAAGTCAAATTAAATTTTTATGAGCGTTTGAAATTCAAATTTTAACAAACATTGGATATTCACTCGAATTCTCATGTATAGCTATTTCCTTATTTTGTTGTAATACAAAAAGGAATAATTGTAGATACATGAAAATTGCACTGAATGTTTATATTAGAAATTTCCTATACACCATACAATTTTGAAAATATTTCGACTCTTTTTCAGCTGTTTACGGACATCTACAGCTTTCAATTTTTTTTAGTTTTTTTTTCTATAAATATCAATAAAGTTTTATCTGTAGGGCCAAAAAGTGTGAAAAATTAATACAAGGCTCCTGATATATTGTTACAATATCAGTTGAAAAATATTAAAAATACATAGGCACAATTTTTTTTTATAAGCATTTAGATATCGAATTTTGACAAAATTGATCAGCTAATTTAAAATTGAATTATTATTTTGTAGTTAATAATTTATAAAATGTTTAACTTTTATATCTAAGGATTGAAAATTTAAAACAAGACTCCACATAAGTAGTTAATTCTGTTAAAAAAGAATCTAATAAATACATAAGCACAGTTTATTTTTATAGTCATTTTAAAATTTAAGTTCTAATATGGATGAAATTACATAATAAAAAACCTAGAAAAACTATTTTAGTTATTTTGTTGTGATTGTATAACATTATTCGTGGGTACTTGAAACTTCTAAAGTACACTATTATATATCTATAGAGTATGGACTATGATAGTATCAGGGTTTGTTGTTGACGTATAAAGCATTATAAGTACCTAATGAATATTGCGATATGATTAATTTGGATTTTATTATATCTATCTATTATAGGTAAATTTTTTTTTAATAAAATAGATAAGTATATAATATGTCTTATACCTAGACTGACATATCGTCTCCGCTCAGAATCATTGAATTCAAAATTAATACCATCCTTTAAACAGTGAACCACTTGTAACCTACCGTACAGCAGAGCACCTTTTTTAAAAATATATTTTTAGATCATCAATTACTGGGCCCTAGTCTTGTGAGTTTTGTAATGGATGTGTTAAATTTGAATTCCATGATATAAAATCCATTGTACTATTCAAAAAAACAGTCCTGAGCGTTGATAGTTCATCGGCCTATATTATTAAGTAATTTTATTTTATAAAACTTGGTGTTATGATAATTTGTACATTATTACATTTATGCATTGTATCTAATTTATACATAAGTAAAAATAAAAAAACAATTTCTTCTAGGTATGATATAATACGTAGTTCTAGCACTGACTAAGATATACAGGACTGGACACGACAAATACATGTGCACAATTTTTTTTTATAAGCATTTAAAGATCGAATTTTGACAAAATTAATCAAATTTAAAATTGAACAATTATTTTGTAGTTAAAAATGTATAAAATGTTCAACTTTTATATCTAAGGATTGAAAATTTAAAACAAGATTCCACGTTAGTAGTTAATTCTGTTACCAAAAAATCTAAGCACAGTTTATTTTTATAGTCATTTTAAGTTCAACTTTGGACAAAATTACATAAAAAAAACTTAGAACAACTATTTTAGTTATTTTGTTGTGATTGCGTAATATTATTCGTGGGTACTTGAAACTTCTAAAGTATACTACTATATATCTATGCTAGTATCAGGGTTTGTTGTTGATATTATAAGTACCTAATGGATATTGTGATATGATTAATTTGGAATTTATTATATCTATCATATAGTTAAGTATATAATATGTATTATACCTAGACTGACATCATATCGTCCCTGCTCAGAATCGTTTTTCTTATACAATCATATTATAACCTTGAATTCAAATTTAATACCATCAATTATACAGTGACCCACTTGTAACCTATTGTACAGCAGAGCACCTTTTTTAAAATTATTATTGGCCACAAGAAACACATTGATATTTCCTGCGGGTTGTATACACTTGTAAAAATATATACATTGTTAGAAATAAAATAAATTACTTTACAATATAAATCGGTAGGCACTAGAAGGTTACCACCATGATTTTGCACCTGGTCAGCCAGAATAACCAATAACAATAACTGTTTATGTGCCTATCCGTAGTCCGTATTACACATTTATTTTATTGTTAAGTACATAATATTTTCTTTCTGCGTTTACTCAATTGCTTTGTCGTCAAGTTTTGTTTACTTAATAACCTTATAAAAACCAAAGCTTGAAAATATTTTAAATTATTCTTTTATTCAACGCTTTGAAAATTAATCATTAATTGTACCTACCAACATGGTCAAACATATTAATATGTTGGCTATATTTTTTATGTTAAATACTATTGCTTATAAAATATACGTTAGTGGTAAGTACCTACTTTATATATTTTTTTACTTTACATGATACGGCACAAATTAATATAAATGGATAATCATAGGTAAACATTACAAAATTGTAATTATAATTAATAAACTGTTATATTAAAGAAATAATAATCAAATAATATGATTTAAGAGAATCAGTTTCCAATAAAATTAAATCCCAACACAAAAATACTTTTGAATCTATTTAAGCTTGCACAATATATTATGATGATTGATGATGAGTGTTGGTTGATTACAATTTAATTACCACCTATACCTAACTGTAGAGGTATTTTTTTATTTTATTGAGCCTAAGCCCGGAAACTATGGACATTAGCTGTTTTTGTTGATTTGTAGGGGATGGGGCTAAAACACATGTGTTTTTTTATCAGGCACCCGTAGATTTCTGCCATTCTCTAGACTAGCGATTTCCAACCCATGGGCCGCGAACAGCGTGGTACTGGACCGTGAAACATTTAATATTAAATAATATTATTATATATTTTTATTATATTCCTCATAATATTTCTGGTTATAATAATATTTATAATATAGAATTGTTTCCGGTTTGTCATTTTTATCGTATTTTATTTTGCGATAAGCTTAATTGGTCTATCGTTTTCGTCTAGACTCTAGATTGCGTAAGGATTGAGCACCCAATCATACTTGTCAACTGAGATATGGGAAAAATACTGTGCCATGCTCTGTCCACTGTAATCAAGAGGTGTAAGGTGATTTAAAACTATTTGAGTGGTTATGTCCCCCTGAGGATCCATATCAAAAGTTAAAGGAAACATCTTTAAACTTTTATTTTCTAAATGCCGTTTCCTAACTTGTAGTTTCTTTAAGAACCCTTTCAATTTATCGCTTGAGGTCAGGACATTTTCTTCTTTTCCTTGCGTACTTTCATTTAATCAGTTTAAATGATAAAATATATCAGCCAAGTAAGCTACTTTGGCACACCACTCTGTGTCGTTCAAATACGGAGCAAATCTGGTTTTCAGTGCTAAAGAGTTTTGACAGCTCATTTTTAAGCTCATAAAATCTCTGCAGGACTTTACCTTTCGACAACCAGCGTATCTCTGTATGAAGAACCAGAGTATCATATTTAGATCCTGCTTTATGACACATTTCTTTGAGAAGTCTGGTCTTAAGAGCCCTCGATTTTACGAAATTTACCATGTTTACAACTAGGCTCAAAACACTTTTCAATTCTGCAGGAACAGTTTTCACCATTAGGGCCTCACGGTGGATAAAGCAATGTGTTGAGCCCACATTCGGAAAATTTTGTTTAATTTAAGCAATAAATCTTTTGAATTTTCCTATCATAGCAGGTGCACCGTCGGTAAAAACAGAAAGACAGTTTTTCCAAGATATCCCATTGTCTGTCAAAGTATTGGACATTGAATCATACACGTCTGCTCCAGTTGTGGGTAGTTCAGAACATGCCAGAAATTGTTCGATAACTGAGTCGTCATCAATGAATCTGATATAGCTTAGTAATTGACATTTCTTACTAATATCAGTTGACTCATCGAGCTGCAGTGCAAATAATCTACGGTCACTTAACTTTTCACGCACGAGGCATTGGATGTCTGAAGACATGTCATCAATACGCCTTGATACTGTATCTTTTGACAGTGGAACCAAAGATATTTCCTTCTCTGCATTATTACCCAGCATAGATTTAACTATTTCTTTGCAGGCCGGTAAAATAACGTCTTCTACGATAGTGTGAGGCTGCATTCGTTTGGCTACTATTTCAGACAGTTTATAACTGGCCAATAGTGCTTTCTCACTAATAGTAGCTCTACGTACCATGGTTTTTGCTTGTTTTTCTTCCGATGACAACAATCGACTGAAGTAATTTTTATATTTTCCAAGTAGATGGCTATGTTTACTACTTAAATATCTTTTCAGTTTACTAGGGACCATGGATTCGTTGCTGAGTTTTTCTCCACACACGATACATTGTGGTATAGGATGGTTTTCAGGACCATTAAATGTAAAACCAAAGCTCAAATAGTTATCAAGGTACTTACGGACTAAAATAAGAGTAGGTTGTTTGTTTTTCTGCACCACTTTACTTACAACACTTGTACTTTCAACAGGATCATCCTCCTTTTCGATACTACTATTCAATGGTACACCATCTTCAAGTTTTCTTTTTTTTTTATAAATTTATCCATATTACAATGAAAACTACTCACTAAAAAAACGTTTAAACTTTAATTTACTTTTTTCTACGGCCTACACACGTGCAGTTAAAACTGTACGATTCGACTGAAAAGTTTTATCTGTACAGATAAAATCATACGTGTGTAGATTAGTACGACGTAGCTTTTAGAACTGTACAGTTTTTCATAAATAAATTGAAAATATCAATTGACCAATTGTGTGCTAAGTGTGCAGATAAGACAATACCGGCTACATGTATAGGCTCGTGGCTATAACTAATGCCTTCGGCGAAGTTGCCGAAGTTGTTGAGGTTGTCAAGTGCGTGAGTGTGTCGTGAAAACTTGTGATGTATAATAGTGTCGTGAACTAAAAAAGGTTGAGAACCACTGGTCTAGAGAGTTGCCTGCCCAGTACCCACAAAGAGGAACCGACGCCGTAGTACGCTGGGCCGCTCCGTCACCCTAGAATTAATTTATACCATCATAAAGTGGTTATTGAGGTACAATAGATTTTATTAGAAATTACATTATACATCTATGATTATTTTTAATAATATTAAGAATTAACTATGTTAATTGTTATAATGTTTTCTTAATAATATCATAACCCAATCTAAACAACAGTCACAAATTGATTGTAACCATAGCAGGTATAAAAGTATTTATATTTTATAATTTTAAAGATGATTGAATAACATGAGAATTTTATATTTTTAGTAGGTAGAATCATTATATTCCATAATCAATGGTATAACCAAAAGTACTGCTACTCATCATTTTTGAAATATAAAATATTTTCTCTTAACCAATATCATTGTTTTAGATAAAATTATAATAACTTATACTCAATAAGTTATTATAATATTTTACTTTATAATATAGGTACTTAGATAATGACTCACCCGCATTCGTTTCCTTGTCTTAGGTTAGATTAGTTACAACTTACAAGCGTAGACACCTACGACAGGAGATTTAAGTTCAGCAGAACTAATTCTCTATTGTTAACTCTAATATACTCACTATCAAACTTTTAGTTCAGATCATTACCTAGGTGACTATAAGTATCTCGAAAGGATTCCATTGGTTTTTTAATTTTTGAGCGAGTTAAAATAAAGCTATTACAATATTAACATGCTCATAAAGTCATACATAACTCACATTAATATTTAAATATCAATAAAAGCTTATAAGTTGTATAAGCTAGCTGCTAGCTAATATTATTATATAATATATTTATATTAGATTATGCATAAGTGTATCAATTTAGTAATACAATTAATTAACATCCCAAAATTGATTATGCTGAACACAAATTGAAATATGTTAGGTATACGGTTACCCAATACATTTTAAATTGTCTTTGAAGATGATGACCATTTTACAACCGTATCATTTTTGATATATAAGATATGTTTTACTAACTAAATTATTTTGGATTAAGGGGATGGTACATTACAATGTCTTGGTAAGTATTATAATATCTTACTTTACAACATACATAAACATATACATTATACAGTGGTCAGTAAGTACTGCTTTATTTATAATGTGATCACTTTTCTACTTTATAATTATCATTTATATAAAAGTAAGCACTAAGCTGGATAGGTATTTTAATTGTATGCAAATATGAAAAATAAATTACGTAGGTATGAATAATTATTAAATTTGATTGGAATCATGAATAGTTAAAATTATTGGTTGTACATTTTTTTTCGAACATGATAAATACCTAGGAATAGAATTTTACAAATTCTACTCCCCACCGTGCCTTCTCCTTGGTCATTGGACGTTTACCACCCGAACGGGACAATTTACCTCCGGACAAATAATTTAAAGTAAAAATATAAACAATAATATACAATGCAAATCAATAAATGTACAAATGATTAAACTAATATATAAATATAATTCAATAATACGTCATAATAATACTATATCCTATACAGAATTCACTAATAAAAGTATTAAAATAATTAAGCAATAAACAAATTATAAATGCAAATAAATAAAGGTGCTATTTAATAAAATTAAATAATACAAATGAAAAAAACACAAATTAGTATTTTTTAATAAGATACGTAAGATAGCTCACGAAAATTAAAAAATTTTAAATATCATCATTTGAAAATCTCTAATTTGATCGCCAAGTCACATCACTAGAATTCTATATTTTCTAATAGTTGGTATTGTTTTTTGTACCAGACAAAATTAACTGCAGGTGTAAAATAACAATTTATATGTCTATCAATTATCATATACGGTACGCGTAAACATCTATTAAGATCATATAAGTTTCAGTCGTCATTGTTTTTTTTTAGTCTCATTAGTCATTACCCAATTCACATTGAATACCAATTTCAAATTTTTTATTTTCGTTTACATTTTCAATATCTAGAAGAATAATAGGTTCTGCTATATTATATTATAGTTGGTCTGGATTACGCTTTTGTAGGGCATGTACATAATAGGTTTCTTTTTGTTTCGATCCAATTTAACAACAATATGACGTGTCTGTGTAGTGTATTGTGTAAAATTATTTGATGAGATTAGTATAGGTCTGCGGACCCGGTCGGTTGTTCGATCGCCGCTCACCATGACGAAAATCTTTCAATTTTTTTTTTTTTTTGTTAGGCTTTTTCATGGCCATTTAGACCCAATGTCTCTTTTAAGATTTTTAATATTTAAAAAAACTAAACGTCATATTAAAATTCTGATATTTGTATCGTCTTAAACACATTAAACCACACATTTACACGTAAATTAAATTTCAAAAATAAAATGTTAAGGTTGGTAAATCGTTGTGTGAAGCAAGGATCTTTTACACGTATAAGATAGGCAATTACGATGAGTAGGGTCCAATGACGTCACTCCTTTTTTTCAATTACTCATAAATTATTGAATAATGTGAGTAAAAACGTAAAACATATACCATTATTTTTAGAATTGAACATTCTTTCAAATAAAAAAAAACTTATTTTTTGTGTTGTGCGTGCTCCTTTAATATTAATATTTAAATACAAAAAAAATTAAAACAAAACACCTTAAACATTTTTTAACTTGATGGGTTATTTTTAAATCAACTATGAAAAGCCAAGTTATTTAAACTGCCAATTAAACTAGTTAAGTTCATAAGTTGATTTGAAAATTAACTAACAAGTTAATGCCCAACCTTTGATTATTTTTGTAAAGCTAAAAACGTCTTAAAAACGTATGGGTTCGATTCCTGAATTCAATAATTCGTATAGTTTGTAATACAATTAATATACGATTTAGAAATAAATTTCTCACTAAATATTGCAGTTAAATAGTTTCAGCTTATCGCTTTAAATTTGAACACAATTTTAATTGCACTTGAGTAAATATGTTAACAATTTAAGTATACGGTATTATTTTTAAATAATACATTTATTTTTCGTTAAAATAAACTTGTGTAAGTAAATTAATATTTGTAACTGAATAGTGAAATACCTATATGAAATAATTACTGTATGTCTTTAACGTATATAAAGTATCTATTACTAAATAATAATTCAACTTTTACATTCAATTAATTTGATAGTTGTATAAACATTAAGTACATAACATCTACCTATACCAGTTGATAATTCAAAAAAATTTGTAAATATTCGATTTTTTTTGAAACATAATATCATCATTACAGTGGCAATGAGGGATGAAAAATTTATTTATTACGAAAGTGAGTATTTATTTTAGATCTTTGAATAATGAATATTGAATAGCAAAATTATTTTCAATAGCATAATGTCACTGCGATTGTAAACTCTCTCTGGTCTACTACTCTACTCCATTACTATTAGATATGGGCACATGTATAAACTCTCCCGGGTCTGTAATAACTATAACAAGTAATTATGTCATTATAATAATGTTTATAATAATATGGACATATAATTTAAAATAAAAATAATAATTTAAATACATTTCAAATTAAATTAAATTTGTATAGTTATATTATATGAACATACAGAATTGAGTAAACCCAAGGCGCTATGTTTTGGTCTCTATAGTTTATAATTTTTTGCGATATAATTTTAA